CATAGGGCATCCAATGGCTGACTACGATGGGGTGTGGCGCTGGGGGAGACTGGCAGGCGCCCAGAACTGGCAGCACGTTGGGGTGAGAGAAGATCCTGCAGGAGAAGCAACAGCCCTGAGAACAGTCGGTGCTACCCAAAGACCCTCACCACCTCCCTGACCTTCACACTGCTGCTGGTGGACATCTTCCTGGGGCATCCTCCTCATCCTCCTGGGGTCTCTTGTCCTCCCAGGGCCTCCATCTCATCCTGGTGTCTCCTCAGACTCCTGGAGCCTTCCCACATTCTCTAGGGAGGAGGTCCCACCACCCCGGCAGCCCTGGTTGCCTCTCCCCATGTCGTACCCCACCGGGGACAACTCCTGCCCCTGAGAGCCACGGCCGCGCCAGGGAGGACGCTGGCACTCACCGCAGCTTCGGGTACTCCTCATTGAAGTCTCGGCTCTTCCGCGTGGTCCAGTCCCGGATTTTCAGCATTTTGATGACGATGTCATTGCCCTGCCAGCGGCCCTTCCAGAGCTGCGGGGTGGGGATGGTCACTCTGAAGGAGCCCCCCTGGTCCCTAGGCACCCCCCAGCCCCTCGTGCGGGTCTCTGGAGCCCACAGCACCGACGGACGGCAAAGCACGATGGTGAGCCGCAGACTCTCAGTCCCCAGAACGTAGGGAGCGCCAGGCCCGGTTCTGTGCCCCCAGGGCTGGGTGCAGAGCGGGGAGCTCCCCCAGGTGGGGGGCCATGGGCCTGCCTACCTCTCCCGACTGGTTCTCATTGAGCTTCTGGCTCAGGCTCAGCTGTTTGAAGTCTATTCCAGCGAGTTTGTTGAGGGTCCCGTTCCCTGGAAGCAAAGGCTGAGATGGAGGCGGCGGCCACGGGAACATCGTCCCGATGCCCAGCCGGGTCCGCAGTGGGAGCTGGAGCCCATGGGACACCTCGCTCTGGGTGGGGACACCTTGCTCCGGGAGGGGACACCTCAGCGAGGGTGACAGCCCCTCCCCAGGGGAGCCGAGCTGTGCAGGCTGCCACGCGCCCCTCGGGGAGGCTCTGTCCTTACGGGGCCGCGTGCGGGTCGTGCCCTTCCAGAAGGTGTCCTTGTAGGGGATCTTGGTGAGGCTCTGGCCCAGCTTCTCAGCGCGCTCTGGAGAGGGACAGGCGGCGGGCAGCACGGAGGGGCTGGTGCCGAGCGCGGGGCTCAGCAGCAGCCGGGGCTGGGTGTGGGGTCAGGATGAGGACCTGCCTTTCAAGACCTCTCGCAGCGGTGTCTTGGCCTTGTCGATAGGCGTCTCGCCATACTTGTTGGCAATGCTGACCAAGGCCCCACTGCCCACCAGGTCCTGAGGCAGGAGGAGAGAACCTGCAGTTTTCTGTCCTCCTCTGGCTACTCCTGGCCTCCTGCCTCATCCCTCCTCTCCCTCCCCAGCTGACTCCTCACCCCGGATGGTGCCCAGGGGTCCAGGGGACTGTGACCAAGTGCTTGCACTCACCTCGGCCACCTGGTCATGTCCCCAGAAGCAGGCGTAGTGCAGAGGTGTGTTCCCATGCTCATTCACCGCGTTGATGTCCGCTTTGAATTGCATCAGCTGGGGACAGAGGGACAGTCCTGTATGCCCAGAGCAAGTCCCTGTCCACTCAGTGCCTGCCCTGGGCCAGGGCAGGGGCACCAGCAGCAGCACGTCTGTGGCTTCGCTGCTGGGAGGGGCTGGGGTTGACACAGGGAGTCAGAGGAGATGAGGTGCTCAGGGATGCCAAGGTGGGGATGGACACAGGGAGCTCACAGCAGGTGACATTGGGAAGCGAGCCCTGTCCAGGCTGCACAGAGTTATAGAATTGCTTCAGTTGGAAGAGGCCCAACCATCCCCCCAGCACTGCCAGGTCCCCACTGACCCGTGTCCCTCAGCACCACATCTCCATGGCTTGGAAACCCCTCCAGGGATGGGGACTCCACCACTGCCATGGGCAGCCTGGCCCAGCCCTCCACAACCCTCCAGGGCAAGAAACTGTTCCTTGGGGCCAACCTCAACCTCCTCTGGGAAATCTTGAGGCCATTGCCTCTTGTCCTGTCCCTTTTTCCTTGGGAGAAGAGCCCAACCCTCCACCTGGCTCCAGCCTCCTGTCAGGGAGCTGTGGAGAGCCAGAAGGTCTCCCCTGAGCCTCCTTTGCTCCAGGCTCAGCACCCCCAGCTCCCTCAGCTGCTCTTCCCCACACTTGGGCTCTAGACCCTTCCCCAGCAGCTTCGTTGCCCTTCTCTGGCCATGCTCCAGTCCCTCCAGATCGTTCTGCAAAGGAGGGGCCCAAAACTGACCCCAGG